GGGAGCTACATTGGTTTGTTGGAAAGAAGAAAGGATGTATTTACCTGAATGGTTAGGGAAAGGGCTTAGGAATTGAGAAACTGAATAGGCTTGGTGGTTGATGGATGGGGATTTGGTGGAGAGGGTGAGCCAGCACCAGTTTGTAACAGATACCTGAGTTTGTTCATCTCTACAGCTGTGAATCCAAGTGATACCTGAGTCCCACTTCCTTCTCCTGAAGAACCTCCTTCTGAATGAGCATCATATACTCAAGACTGGTTAACTGATCCAACAAATCTAGGTGTCCCAGAACTGGAATTAGATCCTGAACTTGCTCCATCCTTTTGTTCCCCTTGTTTCTTTTTCAACTTCCAGCAGTCCTCAATGTTATGATTTCTCATTTTGCAAAATCTGCAAAATTTTCTTCCCTGTCTTCCTTCATTGACACCCTTCCTTGCTCTCCTTCAACAACAAGTGCCATTGTCTGTGATTTCTTCCCCCAGACACATTATCACCCTTTAGTTTCTGTTCATGTTGTAGTAAATCATCTACAGCTGTAGATACAGTAGGCAGCGGTTTTTGCATTAGCAGTTGTGTCTTCACAATGTCATAGGCTGGATTTAATCCCCTCAAGAATTTGATCAGATAGTCTGTTTCTTGCTTCTAAATGAAAGCAGCTACAACAACACAAGGTATGGGATTTCCAGGTGCACAGGCACAAGGAATAATTGGGTTAAACTCAACATACTCATCCCATAACCCTTTAACCTTAGTGTAGTACTAACTGATAGTTTGTGAACCCTTCTTACAATCACCTATCTCATCTTCCAAATTCATAATACGAAGGGCATTAGGTACCCCATATCTCCTTTTAAGTTCATCCCACAGTGCCTTGGCATTACTGTGTGTAAGAACAGATCTCTTGATACCCTTAGCAACAGAGTTCTGAATCCAACACAGCACTAGTGTATTACAAGCATCCCACAAGGCAAAGCGATCTGATTCTCTAGGAGGCATGGGTATAGTTCCATCTATAAAACACACCTTATACTTTGTTTTTAAGACCATTTGCATAGATATACTCCACATGGAGTTGTTAGATCCATCAAACAACTCAGAGACTAAAGAGATCGACATATTTTCGTTCGGATTGAGTTAAAATGGGTTACCGAACACAATCGTCTCATTCTGAAGATTCTCCTGGTTGAATGACCCAAATTGAACTCCTGCAGCTGTCCCAATTGCTCCAGTGGACTGTGTCGACCTTTGCCCTGAACGTGGTGAACTCTGTCCAGACATGGCGGCGTCGGCGGCACGAGAGAAACCCTAGAGCTGGACTTGCTCTGATACCATGTAAACTTGCAAGTAATTTGGGAAGAGGAAGCTCAGTCTAACCTGCTGAGTCCTCTGTTCCTTTTATAGCTAGGAAATCAAATTAGCAGTAGTTTTACAAGTGTCCAAACTCTATTGGTCTATTAAGAAGCTAACAATGCTTTTCTAACGGCTAACAACAATAAACAAAACGGTAACGTTTTCACTATGACTAAAGACTGTAAGTAGAGATACGACGCCGTTTTCTTCTACTCTTTTTCTTCCTACTGCAATCCGCAAGTCTTCAGGATTCTTCCTTCTTCATCAAATCACTGCTGCTCTTCTGTCTCAGTACCTTGACACAATCTAAGATGAGATATGAAGTTGATTTTGATTTCTAACTTAAGTGACATCATATGACTTTTTATTTATTTATTGATGGGAGGCGTAGAGCCAAGAACAAGAGAGATGGGAGTTACAGAGTGGAGGAGAGGGAAGAGCAGATTACATTACGAGGGATACCAACACTCCGCTCATCATCCTTAAGCAAACTAATCAAATGAGTTGGCGGGTTAGCTAGCTCATGCATACATATGAGACTGTGCTTCGAGAGCCAGTCCGCGACTCCATTCCCTTCTCGGTAAGTATGAACTCTGCTAATTAGCCAATCTTGAGCCACAAGACGTCTAATGGAGTTAAGAAGAGTTGAATACAGATGCACTTGGTCAGCTCTTTTCCGGATAAGATCAACTGTGAGGAGAGAATCTGATTCCACAATAAGGAGCCTGTAACCACGACTCCAAGCCAACTCGAGTCCTTGCTTAAAAGCCCATAACTCTGCCTGAGTTGCAGAGCAATCACCTATATTATAGCAAAAACCTTCTAGCCAATGACTCTGGTCATTCCGAAAAACACCACCTGCAGCAGCTTTTCCCGGATTACCCTGTGCGGCTCCATCAATATTGAGCTTACACCACCCTTGTGGGAGAGGTTTCCAAACAATGTTCTCCACCCGCCAAGTTGGTTTAGGGAGCACATGGTTTGGAATGATATCCGGGGCAAGTCACGCTTCGAACCAAATGTGAGTCTTAATCCGGATGGCATGGCTCAAGGACAGGGGTGAGAGAGCTTTGCATCGTTGCTGAACACACCTTCGTTTCGATTCTTCCAAAGAGTCCATAGAGCAATACTGAAAGAGAAGCTCCATGGGATAAATTTGTTGTCGCAGGAGTCATTGAGAAGGTTCTTATGTAACCAAGAGTCCAGGTCAGCCGTAATGAACTCCAACTTCTTGTCCTCTAGTACTGTCGTCGTCCAATGAAACGACTAACTAGCTAATCAACAATGAGTCCTCTTTATCTGCATGAAGGGACACTTTTCGATCAAATTGAGACGAATGGAATAACAGGTTGGTGTTGTGTAAGTTTATCTTTGACTCAAAATTTCCTTGATTTTCAGCTGGTTCGGGCTAATCGATCAATGGTCATCCCTACTTGTAATCGAAAACTCATTTGTGTTTCATTTTCGGTGTATTATTGAAAATTCAGTAGTTATTGCCAACAACATCCCTGATAGTTATTTGTATCTGTAAGTGATAAACAATATGACTCATCAATTCCAAATGTTGTATTCTTGTATTATTTTTGGAGAAAGTGGAGTTGAATTGTCTCGTTTGGATGAACCAAAATAATGGGTTATTTCAAATGTGATGTTTGGTAGCCATCAATAAGGAGAAGTTTGTTACAAAGCATACTGGCATAGTGTATTGCAAATTACAACTCGAAATTGAGTTAAAGGAAAGAAGTTTCCCAAATGCAACATCAACATTTAAATGCACGAATGTACAAATGAAAGAGCTCTTCTGGACTACCATATATGTCCAACCATTTAAATACTCGTGGCTAGGGATGGCTGGTCGGTTTCTAGTTAGCGGGTCGGTATTTTGAGGGGGTGTGATTGGTTTTGGTTAGCTGAATAACCGGAGGTGATTAACCTTGGTTACTCGGCTAACCGTAGCTAATCGACCTCCGCCTTCAAAAACCAATTTTCTCAAACGACCCACCACCCCCAAAAACCTAATCCACCCACCCTTCATCATCGACCTCCTCCGCCTCTGTCTAGAACCCATAAACCCTTAACCCTTCATCCCTTCCCTCCCGCCTCCCGCCTCCCCCCTCCCCATATCGCCGTCCTCCGCGTCCGACCTCGCCGTCTCCGCGTCGCGCTTCTTCGACGTCCCGTCGCCTTCCTTCCTCTTCCCCGATCAAATAGAGACAGAAGAACCAATCACCTTCCTTCCTCGTCCCGTCATCGTCCCGTCGCCTTCCTTCCTCTTTTGCGTCGGGTCAAGGAGTTGAGCAGCTACGTGTTGGTCCGGTGGCGCGCGCCTTCTCTTCGTCTAAACGGGAGATTTTGCACCTGCAATTTCACGAAAATGGATATCTGGAATTTGCTAGGGTTCTTTCGAACCTGGTTAGAAGAGGATGGAAAACGAATGATTTGATCTGAACACTTGATCTATCCCTCAGCGCTTCTAGTTTTACTTCTCGTGTAAAGATACCCAGATGGGCTTTGGCTTACAGATCAAAGCCCACAATGTTATTTAATTTCGGTTTTCTTACTAGCCCACTCAACCTAGTTCCTGTGCCCGACCGTTTAATCTTAGCAGCTAAAGGCGAACGCTGCCGTTTTCCCTAAACAGCTCTCAGAGTTTTACTTCGATACTTAATGGATCACAGCACCCTACTCGACCGATTTGCGTGATGAACAAACAGAGAAGTGCAGAAAACTTAGAAACAGAGTAAACAAAGACACAACCAATTTTTACGTGGTATCCAGTGTTGAGAGAAAAGAGTATCTCAACACTGACTAATCCACGGTCAGTGATTCACTAATTCGTGATCACTGACGTTCCACTAAGGATATGTTCTTGAAGAGCAGAGTATAGAGTACAGGACTTCCCTGATCAACCTTCTCGGACTGATCAGAATTTAATCGTGATCAACTTCCCGTTGATGACTCAGTCTACCCAGATCAACTCCCTGTCGACCTGCACAAGCAATCTCCCCGATTGCTCAACCACTTCTCTATCAATCTGATTACAACAATTCTCCTGCTATTTTCCCTTGATTGATCTCCGAAAAGTGTTCTCTCTAGTCTAACCTCCTTTGCTTTATACTGATTCCAAAGCTAGCCGTTGCTGCATTCAAGTTTCCGCCTTGCTGTGAAATCTTCAGATTTGGTAACTTCTTGATTTTGAGATTTGGCTTTCCTTCTGCTTGATTTGTCTTTCCATCTTACTTGTTCTCTTCCTTTCTTGCACTGCACGTTCCCTATTGACTGGCTTGATCCCAACAGTCTCCCCCTAAGCCGGTCAATGGCCCTTATCTGATATTCCTGATGTTCCTACACACACTTAACACACAGATTACGTGCAGACTGCTCCAGCTTAACATAGATCAGGCAATACTCAGTTGAACAGAAGAGGGAGTTTTATTTATTTAATGAGTTAAAGTCAAATTGAAGGGAAGTTACACCACCCTGACTCTTGCTCACCCGACGCTAGACTGTATTGAATGGAAAGACACTGATCCTCTACTAACAAACTGACTCATGCTCAGCAGAAGCTTAAGCTTTATTGAAAGATAAGACACTGAACTCTAATCAACTGACAGACTCAACTATTAACTCCCCCTGAACCCAGGACCTTCCTAGAAGAGGTAAGGTGGCGAAGGTACATAGTCAGAGATGTCTCCTTCGCTTCCTTCTGGTTCCTCATGAGGATGACCACTGGTACTAGCCTCATTGTCATGACTGTAGAATTGACTGATAAACTCTAAAGGATCCAACACAGCTTTCTGCTTCCCTTTGCCAGAGATATCCTGAACTAAGTCGGCAAGACTAAGCCCGTCTTCTGGAGAAGGAACAACGTCCTCAGCATCAATATTATCTCCCCCTGGGACATTGACCCGGGGTGCATGACGACCGACAGAAGCGTCCACTTTGCGCAGAACAAACTGTGCGCGAAGAGAATTAAGCATGTCCACACGAGCAACTTTGAACCTGAGATCAATCCCTAATGCCAACAAAATCTGAGTGATTTGAGGGGCAAACGGGAGCTCAGCTTCGAAGTTGTCAGCATGATAGTTCAGCATATGATCGAACATCAAGTGTGGATAGCTAATAACCCGATTTTCCTTGGCACTAGCAAGAATCCATAAATCCGAAGGATAAATGGTATTGAGGCCAAACGAGCGGGGTAAGAACAGCCGAGTTATATAAAAATGCAGCACCTTGAGGTCATCCGGCAGTCGTCCAGAATGAAATTCTGACGGATAATAACGTCCTGTATCACGTGTATACAGCCGCAGGGCATCCCCTTCGTTGAACTCAACTGAATGGAAGTCAAGCTCATTCATGACTTCTGCACCAGAGACAGGAATCCCCAGGAGCAACGAAATCAACTCCACATTCAGAGTAATCAGATAATTATACACTATGGTGGTGAAACAGGGTGGAGAGACATGGAGACACGGCTTCATGTTCGCATAGAACATACGAACAGCTTCTGGTCGGAACCCAAAGTTTCGATTAGGGAGTATGTCTCCCCAGCCTAAGGTATTGATCAGGCGAGGGATGTTCATCCCATACCTGTTGAATTTGGAGGGGTCCAAGGTGATGGACGGGTGAAGAGGGCGATCTTGGTACTGATGGAGATAGCGAGTGTATCCTGCTGCGTCCTCGAATCCTTTCCCATTGAAGATGGCAGCCTGGGCCAGCTTCAAGGGTGCCACATGCTGAAGAGACGCAGCCATTGGAGTGTTTTTAGGAGGGGGTTAAGATATGTTGGGCGGATGCTAGAGACCTAGGGATCGTCAGCTTATATAGGAGAGACGAGGTGCACAAGTAGAAGGGAAGGATTGTGAAAGAAGGTAACTGGAGTCTTGTTCCTAAAGTACAGAAAGTCCTTGAAAGAACAGCTCACAGTACGAAAGAAATGGAATATACGATCCTAAAGATATAAAGAGATGAGGCCTGAAAGGAAAGAGTAGATCTGCTGCGGACGCACAAGAAAAGGCAAGTCTTGGAGCTAAAGAGTAGCAGAAAAGACCCGAGAAAGACTGGTGAATCCAAGAAGAGAAGCATTCAATGCAGATTCTCAATCTCGGTCCAGGAGAACATTCCTAGTTCACGACGAATATGGAGAAACGGTTCAGATCCTAAGGGTTTGGTAAAAATTTCGGCCCATTGACCTGTAGAAGGAACGAACTCGAGACTGATTTGACGATCCTCAACTAACTCCCTGATGAAATGATAACGAATGTCTATGTGTTTGGTTCGGGAGTGCTGAACAGGGTTTTTGGTCATGTTTATGGCACTAGTATTGTCACACAGTACTACAAGAGTTTTTTGACAAATACCATAGTCAAGGAGCTGATGTTTTAGCCACAACAGCTGTGTACAACACAGACCTGCAGCCACATACTCAGCTTCTGCTGTGGACAAGGCTACGGAAGCTTGTTTCTTGCTAAACCAAGAGACAAGAGAGTTTCCAAGAAACTGACATGTTCCAGTGGTGCTTTTTCCTATCAACTATGCACCCAGCAAAATCTGAGTCACTGAACCCTGAGAGATTTAGAGAGGATTCACGAGGATACCACAATCCAAGATCAGGAGTGCCAGCTAGATAGCGAAAAATCCTTTTCACTGCAGAAAGATGGCTTTCTTTGGGACAATGTTGAAATCTTGCACACATACACACGCTAAACTGAATGTCAGGTCGACTTGCAGTGAGATATAATAAAGACCCGATCATCCCTCTATAAAGTTTTTCACTCACAGGTTTGCCAGCCACATCTTTGTCCAACTTAGCAGAAGAGGACATTGGGGTAATGGCTGTTTTTAGATTACCAAGGTCAAAGCGGTTTAGCATGGAATTCAGATATTTTGATTGACACAGAAATGTCCCAAGAGAAGACTGTCTGACTTGTAGTCCAAGGAAGTAGGTTAACTCACCCATGAGACTCATTTCAAAGGTGTTTTTCATGCACGTTTCAAACTCACGACACATTTGTTGACTTGTAGACCCAAACACTATGTCATCTACATAGACTTGCACTAACAGAATATCTGACTGGTTTGTTTTAACGAACAATGTTTTGTCTACTGAGCCTCTTTTGAACCCTTCACTTAACAAAAAACTACTCAACTTATCATACCAAGCCCTGGGGGCTTGTTTTAAACCATACAAGGCCTTTTTCAGTTTATACACATGGTTCGGAAATTTGGGATCCTCAAAGCCTGGAGGTTGTTCCACAAAGACTTCTTCTTTTAAGTCCCCATTTAAGAACGCACTTTTAACGTCCATTTGAAAGAGTTTAAAACCCCTGGCACTAGCAAAAGCACACAGCAATCGAATAGCCTCTAGACGAGCTACTGGTGCAAATGTTTCGTCGAAATCAATCCCCTCTTCCTGATTATAGCCTTTGGCAACTAACCTAGCCTTATTCCTGAAAATGTCACCTTCTTCATCGGTTTTGTTCTTATAAATCCATTTTGTGCCAATAATAGTCCTATTAGCAGGTCTAGGAACTAGTTCCCACACGTTTGCTCTAACAAATTGACCTAATTCTTCATGCATTGCACCATTCCAATATTCATCTTGCAAGGCTTCTGTTATGGTTTTAGGTTCTATTAAGGAAACAAATGCGACATGCACAGAGTGAGTTTTGGAACAGGTTAACATACCTTGGTCCATGTTCCCTATCACAAGGGAAGCTGGATGACGTTTACTAATGTGTGGAGGTGGCTGAAGTGCTGTTTCTGTTCCAGTTTTTGTACCTTCCTGGACTTCAGGACCTGCTGCCTCCCTTTCCTTGTTGTTTGTAGGAGTTCCCTCGGTCGTTTCTTGCTGCAGCACTGGTTCCGAGTCCTCTGTCGAGGCAGCCACCACCTGCTTTCTATCTAATCCAAAATCATCATCATCAACCTGTTCTGGACACTCAGCGAAAGATTCATCAAACAACACATTGATAGACTCTTCCACTTTGTGAGTTCGTTTGTTAAATACTCTATAAGCCCTGCTATGATTAGAATAGCCAAGGAAGATTGCTTCATCAGATTTTGCATCAAACTTGCCTAGAGGATCCTTGGTATTAAGGACAAAACATTTACACCCAAAGGGGTGGAAGTATCCTATATTAGGTTTCTTTCCTTTCCACAATTCATAGGGTGTTTTCTTAAGAACAGATCTTATCAAGGCTCTATTTGTAATGTAGCATGAAGTATTAATTGCTTCTGCCCAGAAATGTTTAGGCAAGGCATAATCATTAAGCATGGTTCTACCAATCTCAATTAGGGTTCTGTTCTTTCTCTCCACAACTCCGTTCTGCTGAGGAGTTCTAGGTGCAGAGAAGTTATGGGAAATTCCAGCCTCATCACAAAACTGCTCAAAAAGTTCTGATATGAACTCCCCCCCATGATCACTTCTGACACTGCCTATCCTGAGTTGTTTTTCATTTTCCACTTTCCTAGAGTAGATTTTAAAATTCTGAAAGACCTCGTCCTTGGATGCCAGAAAATACACCCAAGTGAACCTGGTGTAGTCATCTACAATTACAAAAGCATAATATTTCCCTCCGTAACTTCGAATATTAGCAGGACCAAACAGATCTAAATGGATCAGTTCTAGAGGTCTGTTTGTAGAGATTACTGCTTTGCTCTTGAAACTAGATCGTGCATGTTTACCCTTAGCACAAGCATCGCAAAAGAAGTCCTTCCTATCTTTCAACCCGGGAAGCCCTCTTACTAGTTCTAGGTTAGACAGTTTTGATAAAATTCCTATACTAACATGACCCAGTTTCCTATGCCAAAGGGCTTGATCCCCTTTATCATGAGTTATCAAGCAAATCTCATCTGGTTTGTCATTAATGTTCAAAACATATATTTTTCCTTTTCGTTTTCCAGAGAACAGTACCTTTTTATCTTGAATTGACTCTACATAGCAGCAATCAGATTCAAATACAACCCTCTTACCTTGGCCACACATCTGACTGATGGACAAGAGATTATGTTTTAATCCCTCTACCAGCATTACGTTTTTTATAGAGGGACCAGAACCTATGTTGCCTTTTCCTAGAATGTATGCATGATTGTTATCCCCAAAGAATACCTTACCTGACTTACCTGTCGTGAATGTCGAGAAGAGTTTCTTGTTACCTGTCATGTGATGTGAGCAGCCACTATCCAATACCCATTCTGATGTCTCCATGCTCACTTGGAGACATTTCTGCACAAAAAACAGTCATTTGGTTTTTGGTATCCAGACTTGCTTGGATACCCGTTTGTCTTGATGATTTGAACAAAACCTACTAGTGTGACCTTTCTTATGACATGTATAACAAATTAGAGATAACCTCCTTTTACACACTTTGATTGTATGTCCTGTCCTGTGACAGTACTTGCATTCATTAGATCGATATCCTCTCATCTCGTGAGGTGTTGTTACTGTTCTATTCCTGATTCTACCCTGTACTGATGTTTCATTTGACTCGCAGTTGCATTTTGTAGAATTCTTAACCTGGGTGACCAGTTTCTCATTTTGATCAGTTAAGGTAGCTAAACAAGAAGTTAACTCAGCTGACTCTTTTCTTAAGTCCTCACATTCTTTTCTAAGTCTGATATTATCACTCTCCTTTTCACCCATTCTCTTCCTAAGCGTTTCATGCTCAACTGTAAGTTTGAGATAGTCCTTTTTTAATTGAGAGTATTTTATTCTGACATTACCAAACTCTGCCTGAATCTCTTTTATAGTTGTAGTTAATTGATCATCATCACTGTAGTATTCTATTTCACTATATGTGTCAGAGTTTAGTATACTTACCTCACTTGGCTGATGTCTGTTATCAGACTCAGGTTGATCATCAATGGCCATATAACTTTCTTCGTGTAGTTCCTCATCATCATCTTCCTCTTCACTTCCACTCCACGTAGCAGCCATTGCACGTTCTTTTCTTAATTGAGGACATTCTGCCTTAATGTGTCCGGATCTTCCGCATTTGAAACATCCTGCTGAGTTGTTGCCTTTAGCACCCTGAATCTGCTCGTTTCGATTTCTGAAATTAGGTTTGAGCTGACCAAATCTGGTTGCACCTTCCTTTTCCAAATCTCGATTCTTGCTCACAAAATTTCCTCTTCTCTTCTCTTTTCTCATTCGAAGCAGTCTGCTAATCTGCTTGCTAAGCAGAGCAAGTTCTTCATCCTCCATGTCTTCAAGTTCTTCAGAGTCATCATTTAAGGTGGCTTTGAAGGCGATTCCTCGCTTTCCTTTATCTCCAGTCATCTTCTCACCATTGTTTCTGCTAAGCTTGTCTTCATGTGTTGCAAGTGAGCCTATCAGCTCATCAATGGGTAGAGCTTCCAAATTCTTGGCTTCTTCAATCGCCGTAACTTTGGGGGTCCATTTCTCGGGTAATCCCCACAAAATCTTCCTTACCAGATCACCACTTTCATAAGACTTCCCCAAGTTTTCCAGGCTGTTGACAATATTTGTAAATCTCTCATACATTTGTCTGATTGTTTCGCCTTCCTCCATTTTGAAAAGCTCGAATTGTTGCTTCAGAGAATTAACGCGTGAGGTCTTTAC